ATTTTAATAAAATAAATTCATAAACATGTGATATAAAAACTAATAGCTCTACTGCGTAGATCTCGACGACACGAAACTAACGCAACTGGAACGAACTGAAACGGATTTAAAACGAAGAAACGAGCGGAGATTAAACGAACCAGTGGCAATTACAGAATTTGCATCATCTTCTTCCTTGCCTTCTTCTTGCTCACTTGACGTGGCATGGCAGCCATGGAAATTTGATGCTGCTGCTCACGGAGGGGAGAGAGGGCTCTCGGCCTCGGCCTGCCACCAGCCGACCACAAGCAGCAATGGCCTTGCGCGCGACACGGCGATGGCGCGTCGTCGGCCATGCCCTCACGGCGGTCGGTCAAGACAGGTCTGAAGGCGTGGCGGAAGAGTAGTCTGACAGGCAACGACGACGCTCCACCAGCGTGGGGCGCGTGAAGGGCAGGGCACGGCTCCAAAGCGGCAGCGGGGTCGGCGCTGGGTTCCAGATCATGGTGGTGGATGGCCAACATAGGGAAGCTTCCTCGGCGGAGAGAGAGGAAGAAGTCTGCGACCATGGATGAACTTCACGGGAAAAGCGACCGGAAAAAGGAAAACGAAGGGGAAATTGTCAAACGGTGATGGATTCAAGAAACGACGAGATCTACCTTGTGGTGGTGACGGTTTTACGGAGACGTCCGAGGTGGCGGAAAAGCTTCGGCCAAGGTTCGGCCAAAACCTAGTCAGTGGAGAACTTCGGCGTCCAATCTGCGGGGCTACGAGTGGCGGCTCGAAAAACGGGCTATACTTCTGGAAAGCTCGCGTCGAGAGGAACACCGGCATATATATAGTGTAGGGTTTGGAGGTCGGTGGAAAAACAAGATATTTTATTATTTTCGAATTTAAATAATTCCGGGTTTAAGATAATTCCAGAAAAGTCTAGAATTGATTTTTAGCCCACGAAAAATACTCCGATGGCTCCAAAAATTCTAGGAAAATTCTCGAAGACACTTTTGAACATAATGAACCCAAATAAAGTTTTTAGAGCTCACGAAATTATTGTTGCAAAGATCAAGGAAAAATATTAAGCCCAAGGAAAAAGGAATTTAATTCCGGAAAAGGTCGGAAAATTTTCCGGAGAGAAAGAAACATCGCTCTATCATATTTCAAAACCATTTGCACTCATAAGCACCAAATGCAACCAGCATGAATGCACAATCCCGCATGTTGCTACTCCTATGATGAATTTTAATTTAAAAAATATATTACTTTTCCTATATTTCATGAGCACAAAAATCAATAACCATTATTTTAACTCTATTTTCAAAAGTGCAAAATTTTAGGGTGTTACAGTTGCCTGATCAGATTGAAATCCCTAGCAAGTAGCCAATCATCAAACTCACTGATGTCAAAGTTCATGAGCCAGGTGGCAAAAGCTAGCTTCTGATTGGACTATGATGGGCCATATATGTTTGTAATATGAAAACTTTTGTTATCCAATTTGTTTCTCATCTTAACAGTGATGGCATAGGAATTTGTCTGAATTACAGAGCCATCAAAACACTGCTGTTCCATGCTATTAAGAGAATACCTGAAGCTCCTACTGAAGGAGAAAAAGCCAATTGATCAAAATTTATGGGGCATATTTTTTTAATGTAGAAGATGTCAAAGTTCTCCCTTTTTGTTTCCTGAATACAAATGATTTGACATACACTCTCTGTAATTTTATCTCTTAAAGCATCCCACTTTTCCTGTGAATTAACGCCTCTGATATTCTAGAACAAAATTTTACTGTATCTTCTACTATCCATAATCACAATCTATGTAAAAGAAGCAAAGTTTGTTCATACAAATGACAAACAGGATCAGCCATGTTATATATCTGTAGAGATGTGAGTGTAACATTTGTAGGTCTGTGTAGAAAACTATGCAACCAACTCTGTCTTCCCTGAGGCTATTAACATGGTTACAGAAGATGGGAATAGAGGGCATTGTATTTGTATCAAAACTCACATTACCAGGGCTAGAGGAAGGAATCAAGACCACAAAGAATTGCAAAGCAACATTAGCATTAAGATTGAACACAAGCATGAGAGGCAAGTAACCCAAACAGTTCACAGGATTATTAAAGCAGCATAGGATGCAACAGTACATGATCTTATTGTTCTAGTACATAGACTGGGACCTGGGACTAGACAGACGATAGACATCTAAACATGGATAACTTTGGAGCAACAAAAACAGCACCTTTCCAGGTGCACACAGAGACAGATCTATGAAACTACTCATCTATGTTGTCTTTCTCAAGAAGAGCAGCAGAAGCAACCTCAGGCTGGATCTGTAAAAAGCCAGTAGCAATTCCTTCGAGGATCTCTTTGGAGAGATGTGGGGCAGCTATATAGTTGGAAGGCCCTAGGATAATGGCCAGTGGGAAGGGATCAGCAACATCTTCCTCTGTAGTGGATGGCTCCTTAACTTGATTGGCTGCCTTGGCACTTACAGCGTCCTTGTAACCTCCAAGTTTGTTTGCAATTCTCCTACTACGCCTCAGAAAGCTATCATCCAGCTTCTCCTTCACTTTCATGGTCTTCCTCTTGCATGGGGTCTGGAACACAACAGGGGCTTCATCTAGGATCTCAACTTCTATATCCTCATCTTCAGCCTCTGCTTCAGCTTCTCCAAACTCTGCATCAGCATCCCCCATTTCTGTATCAGCCTCTTCTTCATCAGAGGTAATGTAGTCCAAGGCAATCTTCTCAAGGGATGTTCCCCCAATCTGTGGAGAGAGTAGAAAGGCAAGATGTATGAGGAGACGTTGATCATTAAAATAGGGAGGGATTAGAGTGTCATGATCAATAGCTAACAGATTCAGAAAGGAAAGGAAACTAGATGCAGGTCTGATAGTTATGAAATTTAGTACCTCTTTCAGAATGGATGGAACCACTGTAATGAGAGGATCAGAGGGCACACTGGGTCCATAGATCACTGATCTAATCCTTGGATCCAGGATCTGCACAGTTGCATTAGCTGGAGTGGGGCTTGGTAGGTTTTGAAAGCTACTAACTTGCACTGAACCATTCTGGACACTTATGGCTTCGGTATGCTCCTACACAGCCTGGCATTCTGCATAGTCTGCATTTCTGGATCTCTCGGTGCAACCTGCTCTTGCCATCAACTTGGCCCTCCTACATCAAGATTCATAGCAGAGAGACCATTGGAGGCAGTTGGGGTGGCATCAGACAGCACAGGTGGAGCGAAGCCCATCCAGCATTGTGGCTACGGTGGACAAGGATGCAGAGGACCAATGGTAATGAAAGCTTCTTCATCTTGTGGCTCAATGAGGCGCTTCTTTTCTAGAACAAAGCACAGGACCGTCCAGGAGCATCCCTTCTGTGGTAGCCCTCCATTCACCTTGAAGTCTGGGATTTTCGCTTCATCATTGAGATACACCTTGACAACCACCCTAGCTAGAGTCTCTGGTTCATGCCAGTACACCATGATTCCAAAACCAGAAACAGGTATAGCTATCATCGGAGCATTACGCAAATCCTCAGGAAAACCGACAAGCATGATCCAAGCCTCATGATCCAAATCAAAAGTACACGCATTGTCACTTTCATCATGCTTAACAACAGTCATGGTATAGTTGCCTAGACTGAACTTAGGACCAAGAAAACGCTTTCTTTCTAGAGGAGAGATAAAGCGAACATAAGCATCCCCCAGAGCACAGGGTTGTACCTCGATGATTCCAGCTTGATGAACATCCTGGAAGAAGTAGCGGAGTGCAAAATCATCCTTGTGGACTTGGGGCTGGAGCTTCACTATTGCAAGATCCTCATTGGAGAGGGTGTAGCACCCAGTCACATACACCTCGTGACGGAGCGGGGGGATGAGGCACGGGTTCCACCAGCGCGAAGCCCTTGGGGACATGCGGAAGCGGATTGCACGCCCAGTTGGCCATGGGAGGCGAGAGGTTGGGGTTTTGCACAGTAGGTAGGGGAGCAGTGTAGACGGAGGCTTCGAGGGTGGGAGAAGAAGACAAGTATATAGGTGCTTTCTCAGTCCCTTCGCCTTCCCGAGATATGGGCCTAAACCGCTGTTGATTGCGGGCCTTCAAAAGACAGACGAGATATGTCCATAGCTGAAGCAGGATTTGCACCTTACCATGTTTGTGCAATCTTTCCTCAAGTGATTCGGGCCCAAGCATCTGGAACAGTGTCGGGCTACCGAAGGCAAGTGACGGGCTAAATGCAGAGACGGGATCTTCGGCATAGATTGAGCATGCAATAAAGAATCAGATTTTGAATTCAAAATGAGCTTGGCCTTGGGCGTGGATTGCGCCTGAGAAGCTGCTTTCGGAGGTCACAGCTTTTGTGTCTTTGGAATCCAGCGAAGAATTGTTTTACAAGATTTCAGAAAATCAGGCCTCTTTCCTCGGAAAAGAGTTTGAATCAGGATGCAAGCCTGTGTTCACATGAACAGAGTTCTTCTGGAATTTGGATGGATAACTAAGATGTTGAAACACTAATTTTTTTCAAAATGGGGGGAGAACGGACAATTTCTGCATAGCTTTTTCTTGATTTATGGTTCACCATTGTCCATTCAGCCTCTTGTTCTAAGCACCAGAGTTCATACTCTTTTTGCCAATTCGGTCCTCCATCTCTCTAGAGGAAGAAGAAAATGGCAAAGGATTTGCAAGAAAAGCTTTTTATCTTATGAATCATTAGACCAACTTTTTTGCAAGAAACAGAGAAACCAAACATCCAAACAGAAAGATGGAAAACATTGTAATTCTTAGCTACACCACCCAAACAAGCTTGGAGAATTAAACTGACAGAGTCCTCATTCAAACAAACCACAGAGCGCCCAAAACACACCACGAGGTGAAAAGCCGATGATGGAGGTGATGTAGAGAGACTCACCGAACAACCAAAGCGTTGTGTGACCACCTTGGCAAACTCAACCCCTGGATCGAAGCACAAATCCGAGAGGCCACCCATGATCGAAGGGGGAGATCACCAGGAGGCGCCATGGTTGGAGGGAGCACCGAGGATGGAGGAGGAGGTGGTGGGAGAGGGAGGAGCAGCGAGGAGGTGGAGGAGCGCCATTAGTTTGTGGGATTGATTGTACTAATGTTTATCGGCAATGCTACAAACAGTTGATGATCATGAACTAGAAACATTTCAAATGATTGGAAAACAGATTTTGAAAAAACTGAAGGGGTCACCATTGGCAGCAAGAGTAGTTGGTGCACGACTACGCAAAAATTTGAAAGCTACATTTTGGAGAAGAGTTGGAGACCAGGATATGTTGCCTGATACCATGGGAGCTCTTTGGTGGAGCTACCAGCACCTTGATGGGCAGGTCAGGCGATGCTTTGCTTAATGTAGTTTGTTTCCCCAAGGATACATGTTTAAACGTTATGAATTGGTTGATTTATGGATAGCAGAAGGCTTTATAAAGACGATCAATAATTCAGATGAGCAAATGGAAGATGTACCTCAGAAATGCTTTGACGAACTGGTGTCTTGCTCGTTTCTGGAAACAAGAAAATATGCATTTGGTAGAAAGGATGAGTGGTTTACCATGCACGATTTGCTGCATGAATTGGTCGTGATGGTTTCTGGAAATGATTGCTTTCGAATTGAAGGTAGTGAGATGAAAGAATTCCCTCCCGACGTCCGCCATCTGTATGTCCGCTCAAAAGATCAGGTCAAGTTTACAGAGCAGATTTGCAAATTGCAAAAACTGCGCATACTGATATTCATTACCAATATTGGTGGACAGGGGATATCAGTAGAAGAACTTGAGGGCATTCTGGAGAATTTAACGAAGTTGCGTGTGCTGCAGGTAGTTGTCGAAGGATACATGGCAATGATTCCGGCCTGTATTTGTGAATTGAAGCATCTACGCTTTCTCAGGATTCATAGTCCCCTGTCGACCAAGGTGCATTTGCCAAAAAATTTGGGCACAATTTATCACTTGCAGATCCTAGAGCTCTGGGGTTCAGGTGTTCTTGAATTCTCCAATGTAAAAACATGAGCCACCTGATTTGCTTGCGAAGCATTAGATACTCTGGCTTTTCATTTGACAATTCTGATGTTTCAGGCTTTTCTGGTCTTGGGCAGCTGAAATCGCTTCGAGGACTGAGTGACTTCAAAGTGAGAAAGGAGAAAGGATACGAACTGCAGCAGCTCAAGGGCATGAATCGCCTTAGTGGCAGCCTGAGAATCAGTGGTCTTGACTGCGTAGAAAGCAAGGAGGTAGCCCTAGAAGCCAGGCTATCTGACAAGACAGACCTCACAGCTTTGTCACTTGAGTGGTCAGGCTCTAGTGGTCCGGGGCAGCATACTTTGTCTCCTGACCTGCAAGTGGAGATTCTCGAGGGCCTCTGCCCACCGTCACAGCTCGCAGAGCTTCGTGTATGGGGCTACGGTGGATGGAAATGCCCAAGTTGGCTGTCACAGAGTCAGAACATCAGCCTGCAGTATTTTGAATTGTGCCGATGTTACAACCTGAAAGCTCTTCCACAAATAGGCGACCTTTTCATTCACCTTGGCCACCTTAAACTCGTTAGCCTTCCAAAGCTAGAAAAGTTGCCAAGACTTCCGAACAGCCTCAAGACTTTGGACATTGTGCGCTGTGAGGCCCTGGTTCTTACATGTGGGGCAGATGTGGACATGATAAGGTCACGGTTTATCGAGCGAACATCTCAGATGGAGCCATCCTTGAATGTTAGAGCAACACATGCTGAGGAGATAGACAAGTTTGCTGATGAGCAGCCTGTGAGGTTTGACACAATCTTGTGCGACTTTTTCGGCAGGTGTGGTAGTCTGCCCCAAAGGCTTATCTGGGGCCATATAAGAGAGGAAGACCACGGCCGGTTAATGCTTCCTGCATCAATGGATAGGGTCATCATCTCATATTGTGCAATCACAGACACTGTACTGCACACCTCCTTAAGAGCCTCTACATCCCTATTTAGCTTGAACCTAAGGGGTCTTCCCTTTCTCACAGAAATCTCTTCTGAGGTGATGGAGTCTCTACCTATGCTTTGTGATCTCTCCATTGATGAATGTTTTCAGTTTAAGCACTTGCACGGCCTAAGTCATCTAAGTAGACTCCAACACCTTGGCATTACCAAGTGCCCCAACCTTGCGACCCCACTTGGAGAGAGTGACAAAGCACGGGTCCTTCATGGGATTGCCACTGATGACATACCCCTTGTGCCACAGCTGCTGTCCAGACAAGGCTGCTCCTCCCAGTGGTTTCTTAGAATCGATGAATCGGACCAACTGAGGGAAGAATGTTGGTCCCTAGATCTCCCGCACGGGTTAACCGATCGTTCATCGGCGTTCTCGCAGACACACTACGGCCGGAGGTAGAAGAGGGAGGGAGAACAGAGCGCATACACACAGCACAAGCATCAGCGTTGACAGGAGCTCTGCAGAGAAGATGGCAAAACTGAACTCTCACTTCATTGAGTTGCAGTGCGAAGTTATATATACAACTCTACCCATCTAATCCTAGTACACAGGCATGTCAGACTGTCATGCTGCTACAATGACTAGATGTGACAGCAGGGCTGACTTTGACGCATGTCCTCATTGTGCTACTGATCTGCGCAGGGGACCCTTTTCAGCGCCGTTGTCCCTACATGCTGCTGTCTGAGCAGCGGGGACCCCTTTCGACGCTTTTGCCTCGCCACAGCGATATAGGCGGAGAACATCAGATTACTTTACAATTCTTCCCCTAATCCTGCTGCTAACCCTAGAACCTCCACCACCATGCCGATCATTTTCTTCAGCTCCGTGAACCGAAGACGTCCGAGCAGCTTGGTGAGGACGTCCGCGAGTTGCCGACCAGTTTTGACGAACTCGATGACGATCGGCCCTCCATCGACACAGTCCCTGAGGAAGTGGAACTTGAAGTCGATGTGCTTGCTCCGGTCGTGGAGAACCAGATTCTTCGTGAGGACGATGACGGGTTGGTTGTCCACCATCAATGCTGGTGGGTGAGCTTCCACACTGGTCAGCTCACCCAGTAGCCGGCGCAGCCACACAGCTTGGCACGTCGCTGTGGCCGCCGCCGCATACTCTGCCTCTCACGTGGACAGCGCCACGACCTTCTGTTTCAGCGATAGCCATGAGATTGGAGCCGACCCGAGGAAGACGAGCATGCCAGAGGTGCTCCCCCATCCGTCGATGTCCCCCGCCATGTCTGCATCGCTGAACACAATGAGTTGTAGCCCATTTCCGCCTGTCTTGGGGAAGACGATCACCTGATCCACCGTCCCCTTGACGTAGCGCAACAGCCGCTTCACCGTAGCCCAGTGATGCTCTCGGGGATCCTCCATGAAGCGGTTGACGTAGCCCACGGCGAACGCAATGTCCGGCCTCGTGTGGACTAGGTAGCGCAGACCACCGATGATACTCTGGTAGAGTGTTGCATCTACCTTCGCCGTGGTACTGGACTTCGTTAGCTTCAGCCGCTCCTCCATCGGAGTCACGCACGGCTTGCACTCAGCCATGCCGCTTTGCTCCTACAGCTTTGAGGCATACGTGCTCTGACCTAGTGTGAGCGCCTCCTTCCCGTCTCTCACCTCGATACCGAGGTAGTAGGATAGCGCGCCGAGATCGCTCATTCGAAAATGAGCCGCCATCTCATGCTTGAAGCTGTCGATATCCTCCGCACACACGCCGGTGACGATCAGGTCGTCCACATACACGACGACGATGAGCTCCTCCTTCCCCCATCGCCGCGTGTAGAGCGTGTGCTCGATTGCGCACCCTGTGAACCCAAGCTCGCCCAGCGTGGCGTCAAGCTTGACGTTCCACGCTCGCGGGGCCTGCCGCAGCATGTAGAGCGTCTTGCGTAGTCGGAGCACCCTATGCACCGCTCCCTTGATGGCGAAAACCAGAGGTTGCCTGACGAAGACCGTCTTCGCCAGCTCACCGTTGAGGAAGGCCGGTTTTATATCCAGGTGATGGACGCGCCAGTCTTTCGCTGCTACCAAAGCCAGCATCAGTCAGATAGACTCCATGCGCGCTACTGGCGCAAAGACTTCCTCAAAGTCAATGCCCTCGTGCTGGACAAAGCCTCGGGCGACAAGGCGTGCTTTATGCTTGACAATGGCGTCGTGCTCGTCCCGCTTGACCTTGTACACTCACTTCAGGCCGATCGGACGACATCTTAGAGGTGGATCGACGAGCTCCCAAGTCTTGTTTTTCTCGATCGCCTTCATCTCCTCCAACATCGCCCGTCGCCAATTTGCATTGGGCTCGACCAGCGCGAACGTGGGTAGTTCCTCTACACTGACGAGAAACAACTCTGGGTCATTGAGCAGCCGACCCGCCAGGCCTGAGGACCCTGTGTCGCTGATGATGTCGTCCAGCCTATGGAACCGCACCTCCACACCGTCGTGGAAGGCATCCACGAACTCGGTGATGTCGCTTGAAGGTGAGGCGAACTCGATCGGCATCGATGGAGTCCCTTGTTGGTCCCAAGATCTCCCGCATGGGTGAGCCGACCGCTCACCATCGTTCTCGCATACACATTACGGCTCGAGGTAGAAGAGGGAGGGAGAACAGGGCTCGCACACACACAGCACAAGCACCAGCATTTGCTGGAGCTCTATAGAGGAGATGGCAAAACTGAACTCTCTCACTTCACTGAGTTGCAGTGCGAAGCTAGTACATAGACATGCCAGGTTGCCATGCTGCTATAGTGACTAGATGTGATAAGCCCCCTGCCGCACTGTAATAAGCATGTAGAGGTTGTGACATCAGTGACAAAAAACAATGCCTAGATCAAACCCTAGGGCATGGAGGTTCGCCTTGTTCCATTAAAAAGGCAACAATGGTGATGAGCTCACCACTATTATTGAGATGCTTTGCATGGGAATGCACACTGCATTGGTAGCTTACGTAGCGGAGCATCTCCACCCACACTTGGGAGATAAGGTCTAACATTTCAGCAGGACCCACTACCGGAATCAGTAGCTTTGTCGTGTGTCCAGGGCACACGGCGAAGCCCAAAAACACTCGGCAAAGGCTTTGATGAGTGTTACACTTGGCAAACGGCACTCGGCGAACAAAAACTCGGCAAAGACAGCTTGGATTGCCGAGTGTTTTTTGTCGAGCAAAGACAGCTAGATCAAACCCAAAAGCTGTCTTTGCCAAGTGTTTTTTGTCGAGCACTCAGCAAACACTTTGCCGAGTGCTAAACCGACACTCAGCAAAAGAATTTTCAAAAAATATAAAAAAACCGTGCCACCAGGCCGCCACCACCACGCCGCCCGCCGCCGCCACCACGCCGCTGCGGCCGCCACCATGCCCGCCGCCCGCAACCACGTCCCCGCCACCACGCCGCCACCGCCACCACGTCCCCGCCACCCGCCCGCCGCCACCACCACGCCGCCGCCGCCGCCACCATGCTGCCGCCACCACCACGTCCCCCGCCACCACGCCACCACGTCCCTTCGCAAAAGGGGTTAGAAGAGGGAGAGAGAGCGGGGGAGCTCACCGTAGGGGCCCGTGTGCCACTGACCTCGATGGGGAAGCTCCTCGTGGCCCTGCGCCGCCACTCCCGCAGGGGGAGCTCACCCCTGGACCACGCGTCGCCGCTCTCGGCCAGGGGGCTGCAGCTCACCCCTGACCCGCACGCCGCCGACGGGGCTTGGGTGTACCGTCCCCTCCGCCGAGGCAGGGGGCCGGGAGAGAGAGGGAGGGGGGCCAACGTCGGGAGCCAGCAGCAGGGGCCGGGCGCGGCGGCGGGGGTAGGGAGAGGGAGGGGAGGCGCGGTGGTAGGGTGCGTTTGTGCGTGGGGACGGTGGCAGGGTGCGTGAGTTATTGTATAGGAGCTTTGCCGAGTCTCCTAGATCTAACACTCGGCAAAGCAGTGTTTGCCGAGTGCCAGATTGGGGGCACTCGGCAAACCTTTTTTCCCCTCCTCTTCCTTCTTTTTCATAACGTGTTTTTTTAAATTTGTTCTGATGTACTTTGAAAATACCTTGTCAAATTGACTCAACAATATATATATAATTTTTCTACAAATATTATTCCATTATTTCATGCAGTTATAGCTCAAATTTAATTTATATCAATTAAAATTCTATAATTGCACTTAATAAATTAAAATTATCAAACGGATCCAAAAAAATTACCAAAATTTCACATGAAACAATCTATGTTCTGTATTGCCTATAGAAAAAGTTTTGAAGTCAAACCCCAATTTGACCGTCACTTTGACTGCAAATCTTACCGAATCCTTCTCAACGTTACGATTCTTCTTCTGAGATGCTTCGGTTTGTAAACATCGTATGTGTCAAATTGTGTGAAACCTTCTCAATTTTTTACCATAGGTTCCACATATGATATCATCACATCATGACAAATCTCATGATTTTTAGACTTCGTTTGTGTTTTTTAGAATTTAAAAACCATTCAGCCACACGTTCATGGTCATGTTTCTTGAATAAGATGTTCAAAATTTCTTTTCATTTCCCGAGTAAGGCCTCACACTAGACTCAATAACAAGAATATCATTTTTCTACTCATTTTATTCTATTATTTGAATCACTTGCCGTTCAAAATTGACTTGATTCAAAAAACTGCTTGAAATGTAATAAATTAATTAAATATAGCAAACAGATCTAGAAATACACTAAATTTGAACATAGAGTACCACATGTTCTATGTGGAGTGTAGAAAAAGTTTCAAGGTTCGAAGAGGGAAAAAACCTATTTCTTTGCTGAGTGTTTTTTTCAGCACTCGTGTGGGAGTATGGCCTCCGGTATCCTCAAGACAAGACATGGGCCGCACCATCAGAGGTGGCCCAGCCCACAAGATCAAGGCGTGCACGGAGCTGCTCGGCGTGCAGCGCAAGACATTATATAGTACCAAATAGGATACTTTCCTTGTAACCCTACCCCTCCAGAGTATATAAGGAGAGGCAGGGGTCCCCTAGTGGACAGATCTATCTACT